GGAGTAATTAATAACTTCGTATCTGAAATGTAAAATGAAAACTTAGAATATTTATCTACAAGCAACTTCATCAAAACATATCCAATAATTTTAAAAGTAACATCTAAAGAATAGTCAATAGTGTCATCTAGTGATTTTCAAGCAGCATGAAGACATTATATATACGAATGATTGAATAACACTGAACAAGATTAAACAAGGAAAAAGGAAAATACCATACAACATATAATCATATACGTGTTGTACACACTAAAAGCCAGTGAAAGAATGCAAAGTTCATTAATGACACCTATATGAACCAAATTCAACTGGAGTACGAGAAATAAAACAAAAATCACGAGCATCTTGGAAGAAAAAAAAACGAGAAAATTGGTACAAAACAAAGAATTTAGCACATGATTCCCTACAAATATATAGAAGAAGATCAAAAAACCATTGCAACCGAACAAGATGGGTTAAAAGCAACATTAGTTTCAAACGTTCCCTTGACAATTGTGATTTTGTCCAAAATCCATACAGATCATGAAGCACTATTGTTTCCTTCCCCTCCCCTTTTTGGCAGGCTGTGCTTCTACTTGATCTTTACCACTTACTTCTGATATATCCACTACAGAAGAAAAGAGAGCAAAAATTCTTCACTAGAATAACAAGTGCACGACAATATTTTATAGTGCGTCAAAGAACGGGGTCAATAGGACAGGGACTACAAACCCCAAGTTACAATAAATAAGAAAATGACACATGTTACGGTAAGCGTGCCTTGTGAAAAACTCTCAGGAAAAGATATTACCTTCAGATCCGCAAGCCATCAGAGTAAAGAATATGTTATTCAGCTTTTCCATCTTTTTAGCATCCTGTGCTTGGTCCGTCTTAAACTTGATACACTAATAAACCAGAAAAGAAAATAAACCATCATGTTAACTATATAATTTGTAATTCCAGTTTGCAGCTACTATCGATGCAATATATCCTCTTCCTAGAATTGCTGATAGACCTTCAAGTTGCACTAAAAAGACAGATTGCCTATGTAGCTAACAGTGACACTCAAATGGGTCCAGAAATTTGCATCTTATACACCTAAAACTTATGATAATCAGATGCACAAAGAATAGGGTATACAGGTTGATTATCTGTTCGACAGTTATTTCCCTTTTCTACTTCAATATTTACAGAAAGACAAAGCTGAATAGAAATCACCGTAGCTTACCCAAAACACCATTATTCATACTTTTAATCTATCACTTACTAATAGAGTAGAGAAAGTATAAAAATGTATTGCTAATCTTTTAGTTTACCATTGTATGAAAGGTGCCAGTATGTCATGACATAGCACAGGAAGCCTAAAATGCAGATTTAGAACAGAAGCCAATCTCATGGAACTTCCAGAAAATTAACAACAAAGCCAGGTGTAGAAAAAACAAAAGCTGAACTCAAAAGTACCTAATCTGCAATCATTATGAAGGAGACTTGCAACTTAATTTATGACCGGGAAAAAAAAAAAGCAGTTTCTAAACATTTCGGGTTAAATTTGAATGTGGTCTTCCTAAACGTGAAGTAGCAACTCGAGTGTCCTATCTTAGACACGATCACAATTATGCTGTTTCTATAAAAAAAATTTAAAAATCAATGCCTAATACGGACTACAAATAAAGGAATTAAATGAAAAGTACTTTATTTAGCTATAATTTCGTTGCTCCAATGAGTAAAGAAGCATTTATGATTTAGTTGTACATTATTCTGCCCATGTTTAGTATTTCAATTTCCTAACTGGAAAGTGCTAATTTTAATGGAGACAGTGACTCTGTTTGTGGGGCAGTTGGAAGTGGCATTAAATTAGAAGACCGAATACTGAGAAATTATCATCTTATTCTCGTGCTTGGGTATTTGCTTTGGACAAAATCTCGGCCTCAACTTCTGTCTTTTCTTTCATTAAAGGTGAACAATGTGACCAAACAAAAATGTTTAAAAATAAAGGATCACATGCCGAGTGGAGAGTGGAACTGAGATAGAGAAAAAAGGAATACATGATGGGAAAAAATAAGGGGGAATAGACAATAGAAGAGAAAATGTACAAATGTCACCTGCCAGGACATTCAACATATTATACAATTGGGACGTGTAGAATTAAGGAATTAATCAAGGAAAGGGACAAATAACCAACTAAAGCACTATACCATCGAGATTGTGATTCAAGTTCCTTCAGGAACTAATCGTAAAATGCATCAAATTAACATTTGACGTACAAAATGACTGGGATATGCATAGAATTAAGAAGCTAATCAAGGACAACTTAGCACTTCTTGATAAACTTAGGGCTCCAAGGAAAATAAATGTTATTATATCGACTAGTCATTAATGCTATGCATAGACTTATTCACATTTTGGCATGAGCAGGCCACAAGAAATTTTCTACAGCACTTTAGACCATATATTCCCCCCCCCCCCCCCCCCCCAAAAAAAAAAAAAAAAAAAGAGTCTTCTTTTTTCTTTTTCTTTTTATTTTTTTCTAAACGCAAATCATCTACATTTTTGTTGTATTTTTAGGCTCCACTAGAAAAGGCTGGTGGCTATTAGGATACCATGACCATAAGATATATAGAACTAGCAAGAATACAAGGGAGAGGGCATAAATCTGACTTCCAAGAGAACAGCAATAGTAAAGAAAGCAGCAAATAATGAGATACTCCCATACAAAAGAAGAATAGTAAAAGTGAACTAGAAACCTCAAATACTAGGAATACCATGACTATCTGTATCATAGTGCATAATCAACGAGGAAGGTCTATGGGCCCATACTCCTAGTAATGGCGTTGATCCCAACCTAAACTCCCCCCCTCCGATGCTTAATAGACGATGTTGAGCAAGAGAAAACCATTATGTGAAAGAATGAATAACACTGTATGTAAGATAATCAAGACCTCCAACAACTATGGAGTCCTATGCAGACGCAATGGAGATCAAAGACACAGCTAAAATTGTGTTTGGTAGTAAAATAGCAACAAAATGGCAACCACGTTCCTGAACAATAATATCCCAACTTTCTTATAATGAAGTCATTATCTTACAAAGAACCAGAAATAGATAATGCTCGATCAACTATCACATTGAGAAACAGATAAACTCACGAAGACGCATAAACATTATGCCCCCATTTGGTGGCCTTTATTTTATTTTATATTACTTTAATTTGTATAATTAAAGATTCAAAGAGCAAATGCTTTAAGTTGTTCATAAGTCAAGCTCCGAGATCTAGCCTCTCTCCCCTAGGATGGAGGTTCATCACGTACATCCAAATTATCTCAGGAACCGCTGACTTCAACCGGCCTGGGTTTCAACAGCAAACCCTCGACTGGAAACCCCACCAGCCTCACGCCGCAAAACCCTAGCCTTTCCTGCCCGTAGGCAGCGAATTCCCTTAGCGCCGCCGTCCGGCTATACAGAAGTGATGACGGCGCGCTAACGATTGGCGACAAGGGAGCCCAAGCCGACACCTTTCACATCAAGGGCCAAATTATACCGAATCTATAGATTGAGAAGACAAGGGCATCCACGAGGTTACAGATTGAGAAGACACCATTCACATCAATGAGCAATTCAGGAACTTGCGTCCACTACTTCTATGCTTTGAAGCGATCGGTATTGAAGATTAATTTGGATAAATCTGGGGCTATTCCAGTGGGAGAGGTTGCTAACGTGGATGAGTTGGCCAATATATTGGGCTGTAAGGTTGCGCAATTGCCCATGTCATACCTTGGACACCCTTTAGGGGCAAGGTTTAAAAGTAAACATATTTGGAATGGAATTGTTGAAAGGGTGGAGAAGAAGTTAGTGGGGTGGAAGCGTATGTAGGGTGGAGAAGAAGTTAGTGGGGTGGAAGCGTATGTACCTTTCGAAGAGAGGCTACCTTACGCTCATTAAATTCACTCTCTCTAATCTACCAACTTATTTCTTGTCACCGTTTCCTATTCCTGTTACAGTGACAAACAGATTAGAGAGGATTCGAATGGAATTTCTTTGGACAGGCTTAGGAAAAGAGAGGAAATTTCATTTAGTTAATTGGGGTGTGGTTTGTTTTCCTGTAAGGATGGGGGGCCTTGGATGAGGAGCCTTTTTTTGTTTAATAAAGCTTCATTAGGCAAATGGTTGTGGCAATTTGGAATGGAGAGATAAGAGTTTTTGGAGACAAATCATAGGAGCGAAGTATGGTGTGATGGAGGGGGGTTTGTGCTCAATCGAGGTTGTAGATCGTATGGGGTGAGTTTGTAGAAGTATATCTGACTAGGATGGAATGACTTTCGAGAGAAATTGACTTATGCGGAAGGGAATGGTAATAGTATTAGATTTTGGGATGATTGTTAGTGTGGAGATCATCCGCTAAAGGCACGGTTTCTTTCTTTGCACAGTATTGCTTTGGAGCCTTTTGCTATGTTGAATGATGTACTAGCCATACATAATGGAAGTTATAGTTGGAATATTGTTGTTGAGAGGGGTTTCCAGGATTGAGAATTAGATGATTATGCAATGTTTTTAACCTCCTTGCACAAAGCGCATATTCAGGTTGGAAAGGGTGATCGAAGCAAGTGGAGGTTGGCACGGGATGATATTTTTTCAGTTCACACTTATTTTAGATCCATATTGGGACCAACAGAGAGTTCATTTCCTTGAAAGATGGTGTAGCAATGTAAACTGTCTCCACAGGTGGCTTTCTTATTATGGACGATTGTGAGGGGACAGACGTTAACGGTGGATAATCTTTGAAGAGAATGTCTTTATATTACTGAATCGTGTTATATGTGTAAGAGAGCGGAGGAAACAATTGACCATTTGGTCATCCATTGTGATGGTGTTCGGTGGTTGTGGATCGGCATTCTAACTTCCCAAACATTGGATTGAGTGTTGCCTAGATGCATAGAAGATGTATTGCAGGCATGCAGGAAAAAATTTCGAGATAAGGATAATAGACTTGTGTGGAATCTTATTCCGGAATACACTGTATGATGTGTATGGAGAGAAAGAAACAGCCGCTATTTTCAAGAGCAAACAAGAACAATAGAGTATATTAGAGAATTGTTTTATATGACTATGTATACTTAATTTAATGCTACGGCCGCAAATCATATAGAAGGGCTGCCTAATTTCATGTCATTTCTTTCTTGTTTAAATTGATAATACACATCTCGTATATTATCTATTGATTAATAAAATTACCTGATTACTTATAAAAAAAATATTACTTTAATTTATTTCTCATACTTATTTTTAACTACGCATTCACACAATAAAATATTCTATACATAAACCCAAAGATTTTTCCTACTTTTTAACCACATATTCTCCAAAAAATATGTTAGACCCGCAATACAGGTCACTTATCAGAGGCGCAAGGGCAAGGGCAAAAGAGGAAACACACAGAGAATAAGCCACATGCACGGTTACATAATATGGTTGGGGTGAACAGTCTAGAAGCAGAACAACCTTTAAATAGGAGAAGCAATGAACATCTGGTCATGCAGAATTTGGTAATCTGTTAGGAGAGGATTGGCTCTCTCGAATAGCCAAAATTATCATTTATTCAGTTCCATTGTATACACTCTGCTTTTCCTTAGCAGAGAGTTGCTTTGTAATTCTCGTTTATCAAAGAAGTTTATTATTTCTCTTGCATTATTTGAAGGTTCATATCATTGGTATCAGAGCAAACCGATCCGATGGTGAACTTAACAGATAGGGTGGGAAATTTAGAAGAATCTCAGCAAAAATTTCAGGAGCAAATGGAAGGAATGCAAATGGGAATGGAGAAATTGCAGATAGAGATGCAACGAGTACAGAATATCGAAAAAAATATGGCCATCATTTCCGAACAGTTCACCTTCATGAGGGCAAGGTG